TTTCAAAACAAATTTCGTCTCGCTTGAGACCTTTTCCCTTTGAGATCCAAATTTCGAATTTGTTTCACATTAAACAAAGTTGATCTCACTTGAGATCGTTTTCTCAAAAACAAACTTTGTCTCGCTTGAGACAATTTCTCGAAAAACAAATTTTGTCTCATTTGAGACTATATCTTAAAGCAAATTTTGTCTCGCTTGAGACATCATTTTCTCTCATAATACAAATTTCAAGGTTGTTGTACTTAAAGCAAAATTAATATCACTTGAGATTTTCAAAGCTGATTTGTCTCGCACGAGACAGTTTCCCCTTTACACAAATTCTGAAATTGTTTCATTTGAAACAAAATAAACACCTTTGAGATTGTTTCCCTAGAAACAAAATCGACAATCTTTGAATCTTTTTCTCTTAAAACGATTTTTGTCTCTCTTGAGACAGTTTCTTTTGAGAAAAAAATCTTTGAGTCTGTTTCTTTTGAAACAAAGTTGTGTCTCTCTTGAGACAATTTCTTGAAAAAAAATCTTTGAGTTTGTTCCTTTTGAATAAAAATCTTTGAGTTTGTTCATTTTGAATAAAAATCTTTGAGTTTGTTCCTTTTGAATAAAAATCTTTGAGTTGTTTCTTTTGAAAAAATCTTTGAGTCTATTTCTTTTGAAACAAAGTTTTGTCTCTCTTAAGACAATTTCGTGAAAAATCTTTGAGTCTGAAACAAAATTTTGTTTCTCTTGAGACGATTTTGTGAAAAAAAATCTTTGAGATTGTTTCTTTTGAAACAAAAATCTTTGAGTCTGTTTCTTTGGAAACAAAATTTTGTCTCTCTTAAGATAATTTCTTTTGAAAAAAATCTTTGAATCTGTTTCTCTTAAAATGAATTTTGTATCTCTTGAGACAGTTTCTCTTGAAGTAAATCTTTGAATATGTTCATTTTGAAAATCTTTGAGTTTGTTTCTCTTAACAAAATCATCTTTGAGTCTATTTCTTTAAAAACAAATGTTGTCTCTCTTGAGACAGTTTCTAATGAAAAACTAACTTTTGAGATTGTTTCATTTGGAACAAATTTGGTCTCACTTAAGATGTGATCCATTTTTGAGTCTGTTTCTTTTGAAACAAAATTTTATCTCTTAAAGACAATTTCTTATGAGAAAAAAATCTTTGAGTTTGTTTCCTTTGAAACAAAATTTTGTCTCTCGAGACAACTTCTTTTGAAAATACCCACCTTTGAGATCGTTTCTATTAAAACAAATTTTGTCTCGCATGAGACAGTTTCCTTTCAATGACATCTTTGAGTCGTTTCCCTTCAAACGAATTTTGTCTCTTGAAACATTTTCTCTTAAAACAAGATCATCTTTGAGTTTGTTTCTCTGGAAACAAGGTTTTATCCCTTAAAACAGTTTCTTTTGAAGAAAAATCTGAGTCTGTTTCTTTGGAAACAAAATTTTGTCTCACTAAGATACAATTTTCTGAAAAACAAAGTTTTGTCTCTTATGACAATGTCTTTAAAAAAAATCATTGAATCTCTTTCTTTGGAAACAAAATTTTGTTTCTCTCGAGACAGTTTCTTTGAGAAAAATCTTTGAGTTTGTTTCTTTGGAAAACAAAATTTACCATCATTGAATTTGTTTCCCTTGAAACAAAACAAACATCTTTGAGATCGTTTCCCTTAAAAACGAATTTTGTCTCGCTTGAGACAATTCCCTTTAAACGTCATCTTTTGAGTTGTTTCATTTGAAATGAATTTTGTCTCTTTCGAGACAGTTGCTTTTGAAACACATTATCTTTGAGTTTGTTTTTCTTGAAACAAATCTTTGGGTTTGTTTCTTTTGAAACAAATCTTTGGGTTTGTTTCTTTTTGAAACAAATCTTTGAGTCGGTCTCCCTTGAAACTCTTATCCCTAAAGATGGCCAGCCGTCTTCATCACGTAGGAACCGTGTCATCATTCGACCTGATCTCTTCATCACGTATAAGCCGTGTCAACCATAGATAACCAGTCGTCCTCATCAAGTAGGAACCGAGTTATCGCCCTTAGATGGCCAAAAACTCTTCATCACGTATGAGCAGTGTCATCCCCTGACCAGATTTCCTCATCACGTAGGAACCGAGTCACCCTTAGACGACCAGAACTCTTCATCACGTATGAGCAGTGTCGTCCCCACCAACACGCATATCCAATTTATAGGAAAAAGAAAGAGAACCAGCCAAAAACGTGTTGTATTGTCGTCTTTGCCCTATTCTTGTTAACACAAGAATGTGCAAAGAGGGGCAGCTGTAGACACCCGTTTTTGTCCGGGTCTTTTTTATTATTATTATTATATTTATTATTATTATTATTATTATTATTATTTAATTTACATTTACATTTTGCAGGCCTAGTTGAAGCCCAATTTGCAAGAACCCGAAGCCCAATCAACACAACAAACAGAACCCAAATTATAACCCTATTCAGGCCCAGTGTACAACCCGACCCAGCTTCTAACTCAAACCCCAAACCCACTAGGGTTTATTTTTCCTTCTCCAACGGTAGCCGCCGCTGCCATGAGCAGATGAAAAGCTCCACCGCCATCACTATTCCGACCTGACTCCAACTGCTCTACTATCATCATCTACAGCAAAACCAATCAAAAATATATATATATCATCTACAGTTCAAATCTCGCCAAATCTGAAAACCCATTAAAAAAGTCCTAAATCCCTAAATATTCGGCTTTTGGTACTAACCCGAGCCTAGGAACATCATTCCTATCAAATAGAGATGATGATTCTCAGCCAAGGACCATAAGAAACATACATGCAATGATAGAAGAAAACTATTGGGGTTTTGCAGAGAAAAAGTGAAAACCAGGAAAAAAATAGAGAGAGTGCTAAAAAAAACAAAGGGAGGGAGATCTTACCCTTGTAGAAAACCTCGTCGTTGTAGCCTAGCCAGAACAGAGAAGGCCGCATTGAAGGTAAACTTTCCCTTATTTTGGATCTAGGGTTTTCGAATAGGGGGTTTCGGTTTTTGCTTGGGGTAGGAGAAGGGTTAGTGTTCAAAGGAAGAGAGAAGGGTTGGTCATGGGTTGATTTCTCAAGCCATCGCCGCTGGCTGCGGCGGCGCCGTGTTCCTCTGCTTTCTCTCCACGACGGAGACAAAGGCAGAGAAGGAGAGAACATTGAGAGCTTCTTCTGTTCTCTATTTTTAAGAGAGGGGATGATGGGGTAAATGAGGGGAATGGGAAATTGAAAGCCCATTTTAGGCTTAAATTATATGACTGAAACGACGTCGTTTAACACAAGGAGGAGTTCGGCGTGTTTTCCATTTAGGGTTAATAGTAGAATAGGTCCCCATAGCTTTATAATCTCACCTCGCGTGTTCTGGGCTTTTGGGGTTAATACCACATTTGGTCCTTATTTTGTAAGATTTCCGTTTTCACCAGTTAATGAAATTTTTATTTCCTTTTATTTTGAGATCCTATTCTATTTATGTTGCAATTTAGTCCTTTTTCGCCTGTAAATGCGTTTGTGTATATATCTAAGCCCATGCCGTTATATTTTATTTTATTTATGTTCAAGCAGTATCGTTTATGTTTAGTTCATTTAGTTCCTTATTTTTCTGTTATTTTATCTTTGGTTAAGTTTCTGTTAGTATCATGGTATTTTATTTTATTATATTTCAGTCCTTAATTGAAATGTTGGCTATTTTACTTTGAACTTTAAAGTTCATCATTTTTGTTAGTCATTTTACACTGTTAATTGTTTTGGTTAAATGGCTGATATCGCTTATTAATTTGTGATGTGTTTATTTATTCCTTGCTTTTAGTTTTAATTTTCATACTTTGATCTGCCATTTTTGATGTTTGTTCACTTAGGCCATAATATAAATTATAATGTGTATGCTTGCTTGGTGTAAATATAGTTATATTGGTGCATGGATCATGTTCGTGTCAATTAAACTTCCTTTTTATTATTTATGTTTTCCATATATATATATATATATATATATATATATATATATATATATATATATATATATTATATATATATATATATATGTATGTATGAGCAGTGTGATATATTTACTTTATTTTCCTATTAAATTTCTAATTTACAAATTATATATTCGGGATTTATTTTTTTGTATATAGTATTATGTTAAGTGTATTTATGTGTATTTCGTGTGGAGCCCACCTTTGTGCCGTATATATATATATACATATTTGCTTTTCCTCCATGATTTATGTTCATATTAATTTATTTTGTGTCACCACTTCATGTATTTATCATATTTGGTTAAATATTTTATAACTAATTCGAACATTTTCAAGAACTTGTATTTGTAGAACGGGCAAGGAAAGTATCACTTGATCGAAGTGGTACGATCCGATACGGCATTTTAATGACATAGGAATTTGCATCAAGTCGAGTATATTTTACTAATTAATTTATTCAAATGATGCAATGTGTGTTATTTTTAATTAACTATTTATTTCCTTTTATTCGAATGCAAACGTCAATTTTATTTATTTTTTCGCAAATTTATCAATGAGGGAATATTCTTTTATTGACAAGAAATAGTCAAGTTAGCTTTCCCGATGGAGGATTACTAATTTCGATATTTCTTTTCGAGTTAAAGAATTTTCTGTAATTAATTTATTTGAAGCAAATTAATTAAATTTCAATAAATAGATCACATCTTAACTTTACGTTTGACTCACGATTTTCACAATGTATGACAACGTATAAGCGACACAGTACCAATTTTGGGCGTTGTGAGGGTGTTTACCCTTCCCCGCACGTAACCGACTCCCAAATCCATTTAAATGAATCTTTGGTAACGCAGACCGAGTCTTGTCTTAAAAAATGATTTTTCTTAAAATTGTTTTAAAAGACGTTTTTAGGTATTCAACCTACCTAACCCAAAGGTCGATGGCGACTCTTTTCAATTTTATTCAAATCAATTCAAAATCACCCAATTTTTCTAAAATAAAGTCGTAATCGTTTTTTAAAAAATAATATTTAATTGTTTCACTTAAAAATGGTTATGACAATTTCGATCCACGTTCCACCTCTAATCAAGACAGACCTTTCACTATCTTGTTCGAACATTGCTTCGAGATTTAGAACCAAAGGGATCAAGTGTCCCGAGGCTAGAATAACAAGCATGAGAAGTGAAACCAAAGGACCAGCGCCACGGTGCTTCCGAACATGAAAGATTTGAAATGCCACAAAGATAATTGAAAGAGTATTGGATATGACCGACATGATCATCTCAAAATTCATTCTCCAAATCGATTCGGATATCCAATGGCGATAATGAGCCCATCCCAAAAACTGCATAGGCTCGAAGTACAAAGGATCGGTATTCTCACACATGCTCTCGATGCTTCCCTTGATCTTACTTCTCCTGTTTGAGTCCTGCGGAGAAAAATAGACATTCACAAGGATCTCATAATCCATCGAATGACTTGAAAATGATTTCTCACCCGACATTAAACGGGTGCAGCCAACCATGCATAGGATACCTGTTGCATTATCATAAATCCCATCAGCAGAAATCATGAATTCCGTTTCCAGATATTCGTTTGAAGATTTGTTAACTGGAGTAAGGCCAGGATAAACTTCCCAGCTAGGCACTGAAATTCTCATTTTATAGCTGATATTAAGCAAGCCACTGCTGGAATTAGATTTAACACCAGGATGTTTAGGCTTTGAGCTTGAGGATGGTATTAGATATGGAAATCTCTGATTCGACTGATTGCCGGCCCCAAGAGGATCCGAAGAACCCCATCCGATATTTACTTTGGAACCATTGAGGATTGACATGCTAAAACCCATGTCTCCAGAATAACCATCTGGATACTGTACCCTTCTGCTCCTAGTCCTAGGATTCTTCTTTGGACAAGATTTCTTCACCCTGTCCATCTCCGTGTATTCATACTTCAAACCTTGAAGTTGAATCTTTCCCCTATGATGGCCAGTATTTTGGAACTCGATTCTATTGAAGAAACCGGCTTCATTCCTCTTCTTCAGGCTCCAGATTTCACCAACAACAGTATCTGTGTGTCTGATAGACAAGACTGCCGGGAATCTTAAGCTCAAACGTGTTGTGCAGTCCCCGACAGGAGACTTGTCAAAGGAGCTCGATGCATTGTAGATTCGGCAAGCGGCGATACAATGCCGATTGCTCTTTGCATCCCAAGTTCCTTCTCCAATTAATGAAGTGCTGATGTTGGGAGAGCTATATTATCCCCTGTAGCTGTTGTTCCGAAATTCTATCAGAAACCTCAAGCTTAGCCTATCCCCTGAGCATTGAATCATACTCAATGACATCGCCGGAGGCAAATATCGGATGACATCTCCGAAAGGACAGCAACTCTTTGAAGAACCACAACCACTTGCATACTCCAGTTCGAAAGCATTGTCTCCACCAGACAACATATCGCATATAGTTCGAGTTTGCGATAAGCTGAGGGACAACTTCAGTTGGACATCGGTTCCCAGGGGACACCCTTGACTAAATTGCTTTGAAGCCATGGTGTAACCGTAATTCATTTGAGGAAACATCAGCAGTGATATTTTATTAAAGTAACTTGGATCATTAGCAGGATTCAAGCTAGAAATGGTCCCAGTGACTAACGTGTTGATATTACTTGAACTCTTAAGGTTATTAATCTTAAGGACAGTTGCAAGATGAAGCAATTTACCTTCATCGGAGTAAGTATCGCTCGATCCCACCATGCAAAGCTCCCCGGTGGTTCGAGACCAGAAGCCATGAAAATCGAAGTCCAGAGCTCCGCGATCACTTGAATCGCTAAAACTCGAAATAAATGAGCCGTCACGGTTGAAACTCTGTTCGTAGTAATATGAGGTTTGGAAGATCAGGTCTCCTTCCACCTTGAACACATCCTCGAATCGAGTGCTTTCGATTCCGGGGTATAGTACATATGTGAACGATTTAGGACATTATCCCCACCACTGAAGTAACCATTCTGACGTCCAGAAAAAGGCATGACATTGTACTTCTCATCACCTGGTTTCGAGTCATGAACAACTGAGTTACAGTGACAAGTGACGACCATACTTAAGTTCAGTTGCAGTGCCAGAGACTATACTAAGGCATAAGATGCTAAACAACAAGGAAGGAGCAAAAAACGAAAGTTTTGGTGTATAGAATGCGGAACAATCCATAACTATGGGCTTGAATTCCTTCGGACAAGAAGATTGTGAGAAGGAACTTATAGCAAACATTGAAATGGTAAACATTTCTACGTTGACAGAGGAAATTTCCAAGAATAAGAGGTTGGAGAAAAATGGTTGGGTATGGTAATTGGTACCATGAATCTTGGGGACGTATTGGGTTTCGAAGACTTTTATTGGTATGTCCTATGTAGAGGATACGCTTGAGTTGACTTGACTTGATAAGTAGTGCAGAGAGATGAGGATGAAACTTCCTTCCTGGTATGTCCTACAGCCTACACTTCACTTCACTTCACTTCACTTCACTTCATAACTAGTGCAGAGAGATGATGAAACTTCCTGCTATTTGCGGGAAAAAATGGTCCATCGTTGAGTTTGAGATCTCAAACTTTCCACCTTGCTTTCGCTCCTTTTTTTTAAGCAACATGTTTTTTACCCTTTTTTTTCTTAAATTTAAAAATATTTTTATAAGTCCAAAATTGCTCTTAACGGATTCAAAAACAATCTATAATAGAACCCAACTAACAATATCAATGATTAAAAGGAGTTTCGTTCTTTCTAAAAGTTTTGATTTCGAATAACTACGTGTGCAATATATGTATACATCTTCAATGCTTAAAAAATAATATAAACATATATTATATTGTAATCATATTAAATTATTAAAAAAATTCTATAACAACAGGTTACAAGAATACTAAATCGACTCATTTGGTAGTGTGTTTTAGACAATGATTTAAAACCAGCTTTTCCACCTTCAATTAACATTTTCCCCCTCATAAAGTGTAAATTGAGATTTACATGCTTTGGTTTCACATGCATTACATCGTCGAGGCAATAAAGTTGGTATTTGTCACACCCCGACCAGGGTTAAAAGTTTTGTGAATTAATTTTGTTTATTAAAGAGAAAATTGCAAAACTGGAGGGACTAAAATGAAAAAATTCCAAAATTGAAGACTCAATCAAAATAAAAAATGAATTATTAAGGATTAAATTGAATAAATTCAAAATATGATATTCAAATTAGTGACTCTAGAACTAAATTGAACAATGGTCAAAGTTTAGAGAAAATTTCATAATTCTTAGAAATTCTAGGGTCACACCGATAATTTCCCCAAAACCTTATTCATATATGTAGCATAATCACTAAACCAACTTAAGTTTTTATTATATTTTCACAAACGAATAAATATATCATACATTTCAAAAAATTTATAATTTATGTTTTAAAACTACAATATTACTTATAATAGAAATATATTATAAATAATATTAATATATAAAAACAAATATATTTATACAAGACTTATACAAAATTAATTTTTCATAAACCCCTTAAATTCTTAAAATTAAAAAAATCTAAAATTCCCAAAAATCAAAATCGATCTTTTAAATTTTTATAAAACCTTAATTTCTAAATTCATCCATCATCGTCGTCAATAGTCACATCTTTATTGTCACAATGAAGTTTCCTCTTATTGTGCACGTCATTTGTCATTTGTGGTTCAACTAAAATATTTTACATTCGACGTTTAATGATCAATTATCACGTCGTTTATTGATTTCTGGTGATAGAAGAGTGGGGTAATTAATAGTAAAGATCTAATGACAATGGGTGAAAATAGGAATTTAGTATTTAGAAATTTGAGTTTTGATGGGAATTTCAAAATTTTAAAAAATGTAAGGATTTTTTTTGAAAAATATTTTAATATATCATTTATTTTATAGAAATATTATAAAGCATATATAAAAATATTATATTTATATAATTTATTATATAGAAATAATATATATATATATATATATATATATATATATTAATATATATATATATATTAATATATAATATTTATATTATAATTATTATTTTAGATTTTGTTATAGCAATGGTAATTCTATAATAATTATAGCTGTGGCAAATCCTCTAAACATTTAAGGGTGCGTTTGGTTCACGGAATGTAAGATTACCAGTGGGAATAAAAGATTACCAGGGAATAGGATTATTGAGAATGTTACATTATTGTGTTTGGTTAGTTTGGTAGGAATGTAAGATTACAGTGTTTGGTTGAAGGAATAAAAGATTACTAGAATGTATATTTTACCAAATTATCCTTGTTCTATATTTGGTTTTTTAACAAGTGAAATTCTAAATATTTAAATAAAAATTATTTATATAAAATTCTATTTTTTGATATATTACTTAGTATTTAAATATATCATGTATTTTTAATTTTAATTAATATTAAATTTACATAATTTATGTAAAAATATATTAAATGAGTTTTTGTTATGTAACAAATGAGATATACTTGAGTAAGAATACAAATGTAAATTAAAATTCAAACTCTGTATCTTTATTTTGAGGAATTATGATTATCAGTTTTTATTTTATTATAACGAGAACCGCATTACAAAATGTAGCTAGCTAATTCATTAAAATCTTCTTGGATGACTGTGTAATCCATAAAAGTGTTCACATGAATTTATTCGGTTGAACAAGATGAAAAATACAGTGTAACGAAAGTTCATAATCCTAATCCCACATGAAGATATGCATTTTTGTTCACTTGATTCTTGGTTTGTTAAAATAAATTTATTTAACTTCCTGAAAGAAGGGAATTACTTTTGTTTTGTTTATTTTTAGCTTTAGTTAAATGACTAAATATATAATTTACCGTTAAAAAATATACATGAAAATGGGGTGATTATGATTGATTAGATTCACCGGGGAATGAAATACCGAAACACTCTTACAAATAATGGAACCAACAAAGGCAACGACTAGTGTTGCTGGGACCATCGCGGATCCTTAGGTAGGATAGAGTTTTGACCAATCAATGGCAATGCAAGTTGATCTAGATTAGCTTTTTATGCTTTATCTGGGAGGCATATTATTTAATCAAATCAAATCATTTAAGTATTGCTTCATCAACATTATTGAATTGAGAAGCCTGGACTGATTTGGTTTTCTGTTGACTATCGGACGTTTATATTAGTTTGATTTAATTGTTTGTTTGTTTTGAGTTGTGCATAATCAACCCTTCAGCTGGTTCTGAGACTCCGCGGTGGCATTATCGAGTCTTCTTTGATGGCGTTGGCTCGGAAGTACAACCAGGACAAGATGATCTGCCGGAAGTATGTCGGCGCGTTACTATTGTCTATATGGTTGCTTGTTTAGTAAATCTTGGATCACGAATATCATTTGAAATTAGTAAATCTTACATTTAGCGTACGTCCCATTTTAAGTTGTTGAGCAGCAGCTTCAAATGCAACAACATTCTTCATCAACAGATAGGACAACATTCTGATATCAGTTCATAGTAATTCACAGGTAAACACAAAGAACATAGAAAAGTCAAACACGAAATGTGTCGCAAGCAAACCGACATCAAATCGACCTCCAAGTGAAGTATAAGAGAAATCAGACTAAAATGCACATCTTGCTGAATGTGCTTGGCGTACCATACCAGTCAAACAACGAGTTCTATAAAAGTGGAGTATTTCCCAAATGGATTACATTACAAGTTTGCCATCACAAATATAGTTTGAGCTGAACCCATTGAGTGACCCCTGTGGTAGAAGGGAGTGTTATCTCCCTAGAGGTTCCAAGTTCGAACAGTTGTGTCTGCAGGGTGTGCGTGCGTTGTCCTCATACAAAGGCAGGCTGCCATTTGAGGAGCAAACAAAGAAAAAGCTTGAACTTACTCGTCCATGGTGTAATGATAGCAAACAATCTTAATGCTAAGCAAACAAATTATGCTTTATGTAAAGCGATTCAATTAAAAAGAAAAAAAAAAGTATACCTTCTTTTATTTGTGTGTCCTAATTGTGGTCCCCATAAATAACAACTCATACATCATAGCAGAAAACATGGAAATCAGATGATAATGAAGAAAAGTAACCATACCTGAATGATGCCCTTAATACGCCATACTCCATGCTTCATAACAACAATATGAGAATCATCTGGATGCAATGACCTGAGTTCCTGTCTCACCTCCTCTATACTTGCATTATGATCTCTAGTCAACTGCTCAGCAACTATCTTATTCGATCTACCTAAATACCCGATCACAACTCGAGAATCACCCAAATTAGCGACGTATAACGTTCCCTTCCATATAACTCCAACCAGACAACAATATCCAATTGCTGCGATTAATGGTTTTATTCCGCATGACCTACGTACAAGAGTCAGAAACTCATCTTCGGTTGCAGAGAAAGCACTTTTAAGTGTATCTTCAGAAATGGTTCCATCTTCTCGAGCAAACCCTGTTGAATGATACATCAGATGATTTACTAAAAAGTCATTTGAAAGGATGCAAAAGCCATAACTATAAAAGCATCCAATACAAACTAGACCGTTTATTTACTTCCAAAGGAAGAACACAATCATCATGTTCAAATCTTATCCGACATCCTCCTCGTAATAGGCTCCACCAGGCAGTAAAGAGAAGTAACAACTATAGAAACATGTGCATATTCTAATGAATCTTATTCCAATATCTCTCCTCTTTGATAATCACAAAGAACCAAGGTCTACTACAAAAGGAAATTAGAAAAATAAAATAAAAAAACATGCTTCTCCTATGAAATTTTGATAACGAAATGTCCGGCCCAGGTATATTCTGATGAATCAAATTTGATACTCTTGATTTGTTAAGCAGATATTGAGCTTTCAGAGTCAACTACTCTAAGTTGCTTTGTTTGTTGCAACTTGAAGCCACAACAATTTTATATTAGAAACTAAATTTCCATTTACCAAGTTGGAAATTCCAAATAAAATCCAACTCAAATGTGGCATCGCATCATTTTATCAGTAAAGTCCAAGAAAAATAGACAATCAGACAAATATAAATTGGCATACGGTTGCTCTCAACCAGCAGTCCAGCATCTATCATAGACTACAGCAAAATAAAATTTGGTGAGGCTCAAACAAATATGAAAAAGGATACAAGCAAATATATTTCCAATAAACACATAACAATGAAGAAAATTCTAAACAAAAAATTTCTTCAAGATGGCTTAAAATTCATATAAATTACAAGAAAAATAACCAAGACTTTTTTTTAAGAAAAAAAACTAGTCCTCTAAGTAAAAACCATTTGCAAAATTTAAAAATGAGAAAAAAAGAGAAAATAATAAAATCGATCAAAATTAAAAGGAAAAGAAGAAGAAGAAGAGAAGTTACTAATAAAATCGTCCCAAACACCGGGTGTAACATTGGGGACACCTTCAGTCCAGTGGTCAAAGCTTCTACAATAAATGTTGTCCTATCTGTTGTTGTGTACGCCACGTGGACATAAATAACGCCTTTTTAAATGGCGACCTAGGTGAGGAACTCTTCATGGGTTTCGAACAAAATGGTGCCGATGGTGAAGCTCTAGTTTGACAACTTCAGAAGGCACTATATGGACTGAACCAGGCTCCAAGAAGTGGTATGCCAAATATTATTGTTTTCTGCTCGACTTGGATTTCCAAGAAACGGTTGCCAATGGTTCTCTGTTTATTCAATGCAAGAGTGGAAGTTATGTGATTATGCTCATCTACGTTGACGACATAGTAGTCAACGAGAATTCTTCTAAAGCAATTGAAAAAGTAGTTCAGTGTCGCAACCGTTTTTCGGCGGGACAATCGTTTATTGTTTCAAAAAACAGTTGCGATTTTTAATTTTAAAAAATTGGGTAATTTTGGATTAAATTGAAAAGAGTCGTCATCTACCTTTAAGTTAGGTAGGTCGAATACCTAAAAACATCTTTTAAAAACAGTTTTAAGAAAAATCGTTTTTAAGACAAAAGTTGGTCTGCGTTTACCAAAAATTCGATTAAAATGAGTTCGGGAGTCGGTTACGCGTGGGGAAGGATTAACACCCCCACAGTGTCCAAAATTAGTACTGTGTTGATTACATATTGTCGTAAATAGTGAAATTTATTGAATCGAATATAAAGTTAAAATATGATTCATTTATTAAAATTTAATTAATTTGCTTCGAATTAATAACTTAGAAAGAAATTCAAAGGACTGAAATAAAATGCTAAATATTACAAATCTAAATACAAATATAAAAAATTAGTATTTAAATTTATAAAGACCAACATAGAAGAAAACTAAAATGAAACATTTACTTAGGTTAAAACTTAAACCATAACTTTCAAAAAGTAAATGAATTAATTGTTTTAATTTAACCAAATTAATTGTAAGTGCAATCCATTTACATGAATAAAGGATAACGTGAAATCAAGAACAGAATGAAAATGTGGGGTCATGCTGCAAAAGTTGAATATTAAAGAAAATGGAATGGTCACATGCAAGCATAGTATCCTTTTTAAACAAAGTATTTACTCACGGATTAAACATATCACTACAAGTTAAAATTGTTATCAGTCATGCACGCTGTCCCAACAACAAAACCATAGTCAAATATTAACAAAATATTAAAACATATAAATGGTGACTTAAATTCGAAAATTGAAAAATAAAAGCCCAAAATCGAATATTAACAGGAATTATATAACATATAAAATGGGATTAAAACGTAACATAAATTAAAATAGTAACTCAAATTAAAATAAAATTAAAGTTATACTAATGACCATAATAGAAAATTACAAACTAACAGTGACCCCATTTGCGAATGTTCCATCAGTGAAATTACAGATTACTTCTTTTGGTTAAACTACATCGTTTTATTAGATGTATACAAGCCTAACATTAAGGCTTTTTCTTACATCTTTCTCATTTGTTTCATTTACATAAAACAGAAGGGAGAGAGAGAGTCATCAGACTCTCTCAATTTCTTATAACCGGAGAGAAAGCCGCCGTTCGCCGGTGGAATCCACGGCGGTACATGGCGGCGTCCGGTGGTCGGAGCAAACCGAAAATCACTAAAACCTTCCTTATTTTATCCTCTACCCAAAAAACACCTTATTTTAGCCTACAAATAACCCAAAAACCGTAGATCTGGATTATTGCCTTCGAAAGAAGTGAAGAACACAACAACTTTCAAGCTTCCACGGCCAGCTTTAAAGCTTCTCAATGGCTTTGAATCTCCACTGTAAGTCATGTCCCTTTTGCTTCTTGTTTTTCCTTTCTCTTTGTTCCCCTCTCCTTCGCTCCCCCTTCTTTTCGTTTTTATAGTTTCTTGATTCAACTCAGTGGGGAATTAGGTTTTAGGTTTGATTATTTTAAAGGTTTAGTGGAGTTGTTTGTAATTTGTTGGCCGATTTGGTACAATTTTCAGGTGCTATTTGACGTAGGCAATGACTACATTCGATGGCTCTGCTCGATGACTCAATGGCTCGGCGTTGGTGGCGACGATAGCAGCTTGACAGCGGCTGCTGTCTTTAGTTTAGGATTTAGAAACCCTAATTTTTGTTGAGTTACTGAGTTGGGCCTCTTACGGGTCGGATTAGCAGCTTAGGTTTGTATTGAACAGATGGGCTAAGTTTATGTTGTATTAAACTTCATTTGTGGACCTATAAACATTACAAAATACTAATATTATTATTAATAATAAAAATAAATATAATTAATAATAATTATGATAATAATAATAATAATAATAATAATAATCCTGATAAAAAATGGGTGTCTACAGCTGCCTCTCTTTGTACATTCTTGTGTTAACAAGAATATGGCAAAGATGAAAAAGACAACCAGTTTTTTGTCCAGTCTTCCTTCGTTGTTCGATTGAACAAGTTTTTCTTATTATGAACTTATTTTCTCTTGTGGATGAGTTCTTCTCATTATGAACTCTTCACTGAAAATGTTGAGTCACCTCCATCTGTGGTGGACTTGAAAGGAACACGTTCTTCTCATTATGAACTTTATCCTTTAAAACAAGTTCTTTTCATTATGAACTCTTCTTGAAATGTTGGTCCCTCAAGCAAGGCATCACTGATTTGAAATGCCGTGAATCAAGTGATAGGTCGAACAAGCTTTTCTCATTATGAACTTCTTCTCTCTCTATCGGATGAGTTCTTTTCATTATGAACTCTTAATTGGAAATGTTTATCTCTCAAGCGAGGCTTATTCTGTTTCGAGGGAAACTATTTCAAGTGAGATAAAATCTTCTGTTTCGAAGGAAACTATCTCAAGAGAGACAAAATCTTCTGTTTCGAGGGAAACTATCTCAAGAGAGAGAAAATCTTCTGTTTCAAGGGAGACTATCTCAAGCGAGATAAAATCTTCTGTTTCAAGGGAGACTATCTCAAGCGAGACAAAATCTTCTGTTTCAAAGGAAACTATCTCAAGCGAGACAAAATCTTATTTTTCAAGGGAAACTATCTCAAGCTAGACAAAATCTTCTGTTTCAAGGGAAACTATCTCAAGCGAGATAAAATCTTCTGTTTCAAGGGAAACTATCTTAAGCGAGATAAAATCTTCTGTTTCGAGGGAAACTATCTCAAGCGAGATAAAATCTTCTGTTTCAATAGAAACTATCTCAAGCGAGATAAAATCTTCTGTTTCAATAGAAACTATCTCAAGCGAGATAAAATCTTCTGTTTCAAGGGAAACTATCTAAAGCGAGATAAAATCTTCTGTTTCAATAGAAACTATCTCAAGCGAGATAAAATCTTCTGTTTCAAGGAAAAACAATCTTGAGTGAAATAAATCTTCTTATTTCGAGTAAAAAATGTCTCTAGCGAGACAAATCTTGTTTTAAGAAAAACAACATGTAGTGAAATGAAATGTCTTGTTTTGAATAAAACCTGTCCCAAGCGAGACAAATCTTGTTTTAAGAAAAACAATCTCCAGTCAAATGAAATGTCTTCTTTCAAGTAAAACGGTCTCAAGTGAGATAAAGTTTGTTTTAAGAAAAGCATTCTTCAGTCAAATGAAATGTCTTCTTTCAAGTAAAGCAGTCTCAAGTGAGACAAAGTATGTTTTAAGAAAAACAAACTTCAGTGAGATAAATCATCCGTATTAAATGAGACTGTCTCAAGCGAGATAAAATTTGTCTGGAAATGTTGAATCTGAAGATGATTGCTCCCTCTTGCTGAGGATGTCTTGTGGTCTTTTACTCTTCCTGAAAGATCTGCAAAAATATAGCTGAATGCAACTATCATGAATGAATGTTTGATGCAAAGATGCAAATTCATGTAGGTGTAATGCATGTTTTTCTTGATTAATAGTAGTGGAAAGGTGATCATGCAATCATGGTTCTCTTCTTGATCTGTTCGTCTTCATTCTTTTCTCACACCAAGGTGTACCATCGCATTTCTTTGCAAACATATGCTTTTCTGGCTCCTTAACACAATTTTTTTCCAATTTATGATTATGAGCTCCTAGGTCTGAGGGACCTCTGTCAATTTCCAGGTTAAACTCTCCAGTGAGATTATCCTGTTTGAAAATGTTTTCATTTTTTTTATTTTAATATGAAAAATTCATTTAAGAAAAAATGTCATTCTTTTAGGCTCACAATTGAAGCAAATCACAGAACATGAGTTCAGTAAATATCAAGAGAATCAACAGCTCTTTAATCTTTCAAAGTTATACCTATTTGACAAGTGTCAAAATTGATGGGTTGGTTTTAAGTTAGCTCCTTTAAGTTTTTAAGGTTTTAGTAATCAAAATTTCATTTCCTGTTCGGTCCCTGTGAACCTTACGACATGCCCCTCTCTTTTGGCTTGGCATTTTAATCAGATACAGACAAAATGACGCAACTAGCATAGTCAATTACTAAACTTTCTAGAAAAATTCTATTTCAGTTCTATGAAATCTTCTATTTGTTCAAGCTTCGTAGACTCATCTAGCCAATGTAGTGCAGAAATATCGATCTAAAAATGAAATTTCTGAGTGCTCGTGTGAAATTGACTATAACAGGTGTTCCTTAACTCCCTTAGTCCATCTTTACCGAAACTCCTTATTTATAAAATTTGCCATGGTTTGGCTAGCTGAAATCAGCTTTATTGTAATTTGCCTTTATCGGGCTAGCTGAAGGGTTCATCTCATCACAAAGTCTTTGACTTGATAATCACAGTGGAGCATACACCGAATTGCCAAGTATCCGATCAAGGTCATGGTTTGAATATAATCTATTCATAAAGCCAGGGCTTTCGAGTTTCCTCTATAACCAATTGCCTAGCGGAATAGCTCAGCTTTATTGTATATAATAGTATAATAAGCTAGCTGAATATTATCCATAAAGCCGGGGCTATTAACCAATTGCTTTAGAGGGACAACTAAAGCTTTATTGCATATATAGGAATATAATCTAGGTACATGGATCAATTTCTTAAGCTTGTCAAGAAAAACCTGTTATAATCTAGGTGTTATTGAAAGTAAGAAAATCTCATCGTTAGAGTTCAATTTCCAAGTAACTGACCCAAACCAGATTCACCTACTCGACTATTTCATCCTTAAAGATCATAATCATCATTGAACGTCTTCAACAGAAGTGTAGTCTAGGAAGTTTTTGCAATGTCATACATAAGAAATGCCCCATGTTATCCGCTCCTATTCATACCTGAATGCCAAGCCTTTTGATCATTTCCTCATGAGAGGAGAAGGCTAAAGTGGTCTCTACAAGAGAAGGGTATGGGATTCGAGTGTATCATCTGTGGTAAGGTCAAGGGTCCTTGTTTTATCAGTTTTCAATTTTGTCATTTTGTCAAAGATCTATAACTCTGATTTTTAAAAGAGCTTTTAATCAAAATGATATTCAAAGAATTTCGAGTCTGAAAATTATTCATTGCTCATAACCTCAGAATGTAGCATTTAAAATGATTGATTGTCAAGCGACTTACAAATTTTTTTTAACGAAAAGAGAAAGAAAATAAATTCAAAAAAGACAATATGCGAGCGCATCAAAAGTTCAGTGGCTGTAATGATTTTTCTTGGTTTGCATCAGAATGCCCTATCATCATTCGAATGTCCATACCCCTGAATCGATTAATTGTTGAACCTTACGCTTCAATGCCCCACAATTCTCAGTAGTATGCCCCGAGCTTCCCATATGGTAGCTACACACTACATTAGCATCATGCCCCTAAGGAAATGGAGGTTCTTTCGGTTTAGACCTAACTGGAGTCACGAGATTCTTCTCAACTAGTACTGGAGGAGCTATTCATATTTCACCGGAATTTTTCTAAGAGGGGTCTTCTCTCGGGTCATTTTATAAGGTTTGGCCCCATGATTAGCTGAATAAGAACTCACTATATTGACATCGGCTCCTTTCTTAACATCAGTACTGTCATAGCCTCTTATCTTATCATTCCTAATGACGTTCTCGATTAATTCCCCAGAAATGACCAAGTCGGCAAAGTTCTTGGTAGCATTTCCTACCAGATGTCCCAGATATGGATCCTTCAAGGTATTCACAAAGATAATTGTATCCTCCTTCTCTAGCAACGGGGGTTGTACTTGTGATGCCACATCGCACCATCTTTGGGCGTACTGCCTGAAGGTTTCGCTGTGTCGTTTTTCCATGTTTTGCAATGTCCACCTATCAGGCACTAGGTCAGTGACATGACGATACTGCTCCAAAAATGCTCGTGCCAAATCTCTCCATGATTTGATTTGGGACCTGGTCAACTGATTGTACCATTTGATCGGTGTTCCAGTAAGACTATCCTGGAAGTAATGTATCAGAAACTTCTCGTTTTCAGTGTAACCTGCCATTCTCCTATAGAATGTGATAAGGTGGGCCGATGAGCAAGTGCTCCCGTTGTATTTTCAAAGTCTGGTGCTTTGAACTTCGAGGGTAATATGAGGTCATGAACCAAGCTTAGATCCATTGCGTTACTCCCATAGAATGCATTGACCATCTCCTTGGATTTTACTATCTCTTCTATATCTTTTATTCTTTGGATAACCTCTTTATTTGCATCTAATTCATTTTGGTCAGAGACCTCAATATTAACACACTGTTCACCTAGCTTCAGCCCAGAAGCAGCAGGACAATCAGTGGGGAATGAAGCTCCAGCATTATATTGTAGGTTCTGGATAGTGAAGCAGACTGGTGATCGGATTCCTTGATGAGCAGAGATGTGCTCATGAATGTGAACAGGTGTAAAACCCGGAGGATGTATAGGGTCTTCCACAGTGTTATTTCCACCTGTAGCATGTTTCTTAAACATCTCTTCAATCCTTTGTAGTAGACCGGCTTACGAGTTTATTATCTCTCCTTCCATCTTATTTAATCTCTCTCTCATTTCTTCTTGAGCTTTATTTTGTTCTTGTTCAAGTTGGATCATTCTTGCCTCCATTTTCTTAGTTATATTCCGAGTTCCGTACGGGTGTGAGGTGAATGCCAGAATAACTACAATGATTGGAAATTATATTTTATATTATTTTTGGTGTTTTAATGAATGAATGCATGTCTTAATGTAAAATATGTAAAATAAATGCAATGAATAATGAATGTATGCAAAATGCAATAGTGCAAATGCAGATGCAAAAATGTTGATCCCAACGATGAATATTGTAGAACAATTTTTACCAGTGATAAAAGCTTTCACATTATTAGACAATCCACTTTACATACATGCCTTCACTTAGATGGTTGAGTCTGAAGTTGATTACTTCTTTATCTTGGATCTTCGTCCTTAAAAATGATGCCCTTTAAGCGTTTTGTAACCTAACTCTGTTAATGCCCCGGTGACACTGAAGTGCATTACTCCTTGATGGTTAATGATGAAATGATCATAGATAAGAATCTATTGATGGATTATTCATTGGATCAGTCGATTATCATTTTAGTCTCGAATGCTGCACGATTTTTGAGTTCACTGCTTCGTCTTGGATATTCGTTTTTGGAATTGATGCCCCTTAATGCTCTATAAACTAACTCCATTAATGCTTTAGCGGTGTTGAAGTTAGTACGTCGCTCCTTGAAGGCTAGTTATGAGATGATCGTAGATAAGAATATACTATTGGATTACTTCTTGGAACAAAGGATCAACTTTCCAATCTCAAATATTATACGTTCTTCATTCTAGTACTCTGGACTTCTCTTAACACTCAACATATGTCTGTGTATGCGACTGCTTGATTGAATTTTTTTATCTCTTCTTGTGAAGATTTTCTAATGAATATCCACTTGCGAATCAATACTTTTGCATTATGTTATTAAGATGCAATGCAATGCAAATAAAGATGAAAAAAATGACACAAACAAAAAAAAGAAGTTAGTGTACACAAACAAAACAAAAGAAATTAGTTAGTACATGTAAGATAATCAATACAGATAAAACTATTATTCAAAGATGAATAAAACACCTACCCCGTCATGATATCTACCCAAACATGCTTTAATTAAATAACATTCCTACCCGGACATGCTTTCTACCCACAATGATGTATTTTCAAGAAAATAATCCTAACTGCATGGTATCTAGTTCACATGTTGTTATTAAACAATATTTAAAGCAAAAAGAAAAGGTTCAAAAACGCTCCTCCTTTGTGTACACCTATTTGGCTACCTACTGACGGACAGAGATTCAGTAACCGTTCTACGGTTCACTATATGCATGGTTTTAGCTCTATCAAGAAAAGATACTCGAATTGTCTTTGATGTCAGTGCCCCCTTGGGCTGTCAAACCCTCGATCCTCACCCATTACAAGTTTCAAGCGGAACGAGTTCAATTCGAGAGGATACATTCCCTTATGCCTATGCGGAGAATAAATTCCCTCGAAGACATAAGGTATATGAATCCCAAAGGTTACTTGCTAGGCCTGCACGGAGAATAAATTCTCATGAAGGCGTCGCTTTCGCCCCCACTTAGAAAGGTTCATAGCTCGGGTATAGAGCTTATGTTATGCAAATGCCCATGATATGTGTGAGGAGGAACATTTAACCCTTTGACTCAAAAGGAAAACGACACCACTCGATGAAAACTTGGACAGATCTGAAAGCAAAAATTCAAATGTTAGTATGCCAATAAAAATAATGAAGCAATTAAAAACTTCAATAAAAGGATCATAAGTTAACTAAAGACTCGAACTCATAATTTCCACCAAACAACAATGTGTAACCGACCTACAGATTGACTCTCTAAAAAGTCCACAGCAGAGTCGCCAAGCTGTCGTAACCGTTTTTCGGCGGGACAATCGTTTATTGTTTCAAAAAACAGTTGTGATTTTTAATTTTGGAAAATTGGGTAATTTTGGATTATTTTGGATTAAATTGAAAAGAGTCGTCATCGACCTTTAAGTTAGGTAGGTCGAATACCTAAAAACGTCTTTTAAAAACAGTTTTAAGAAAAAATATTTTTAAGACAAAAGTTGGTATGCGTTTACCAAAGATTCGATTAAAATGAGTTCGGGAGTCGGTTACACGTGGGGAAGGATTAACACCCCCACACCGCCCAAAATTGATACTGTGTTGCTTACATATTGTCATAAATGGTAGAATTTATTGAATCGAATATAAAGTTAAAATATGATCAATTTATTAAAATTTAATTAATTTGTTTCGAATTAATAACTTAGAAAGAAATTCAAAGGACTGAAATAAAATGCTAAATATTACAAATCTAAATACAAATATAAAAAATAAGTATTTAAATTTATAAAGACCAACATAGAAGAAAACTAAAATGAAACATTTACTTAGGTTAAAACTTAAACCATAACTTTCAAAAAGTAAATGAATTAATTGTTTTAATTTAGCCAAATTAATTGTAAGTGCAATCCATTTACATTAATAAAGGATAACGTGAAATCAAGAAAAGAATGAAAATGTGGGGTCATGTTGCAAAAGTTGAATATTAAAGAAAATGGAATGGTCACATGCAAGCATAGTATCCTTTTAAAAGTATTTACTCACGGATTAAACATATCACCTCTGTTTTGAAAATCGGATCAGATCGGTCGGTTCAACCGGTTCAATCGGGAATCGTTGTTTAGTCCGGTTCAATCTAAACCGGTTGAACCGTTATTAGTGAACTGATCAGAACCGCTGAACCGTTCGAACCGGACCGGCTGAAAATAAAAAAAAATCGGAAAAAATCGGGAAAAACTGGGATTTTTGTTTTTTTTAAAATTAAACCAAACAACGTCGTTTGTTAAACGAGCCAAGTCGAACTCGAGTATTGCTGAGCTCGACTCGAACTTGAAACTTTAAAAGTAAGCTCAACTCAACTCAAACTCACAAGCTAAAAATTATCAAGTTTAACTCAAACTCGAAATATAATATTGAAACTTGAACTCAAAAAGGCTTGAACTCAAAAAAAAATTAGAAGCTCGATTGAAGACTAAAATTCGAGCTTGATTGAAGTGAACGAATAATTATATAATTATAGTTATATAATTTTGTTATGATTTTTTTAACCCCAAATTTATTTTTTAATTATAGTTATATAATTATATTTATTATTTAATATGTTTTACCTTAAATATTATGTTGTAGTTAATTTGAATAATTTTGTTTCACTTGATTTTATAGTTTTTAACTTATATATGTTATGACTTGCTTTGAATATGACTTGTGATATAAAAAATTATTTTTTATTAAATATTTTTGATATTTTCATTTAATTTTTAAAATAATTATGACGTCGTCCGATTCTTCCGACCGATCGGACCGATTCGACATATTGAACCAGTAAACCAGTAGCATGACCGGTTCGCTAACCGGTCCTGTTATAAAAACCATGCATATCACTACAAGTTAAAATTGTTATCAATCATGCACGCTGTCCCAACAACAAAACCATAGTCAAATATTAACAACATATTAAAACATATAAATGGTGACTTAAATTCGAAAATTGAAAAATAAAAGCCCAAAATCGAATATTAACAGGAATTATATAACATATAAAATGGGATTAAAACGTAACATAAATTAAAATAGTAATTCAAATTAAAATAAAATTAAAGTTATACTAATGACCATAATAGAAAATTACAAACTAACAGTGACCCCATTTGCGAATGTTCCATCAGTGAAATTACAGATTACTTCTTTTGGTTAAACTACATCGTTTTATTAGATGTATATAATCCTAACATTAAGGCTTTTTCTCACATCTTTCTTATTTGTCTCATTTACATAAAACAGAAGGGAGAGAGAGAGTCATCGGACTCTCTCAATTCTCTTATAACCGGAGAGAAAGCCGCCGTTCGCCGGTGGAATCTACGGCGGTACATGGCGGCGTCCGGTGGTCGGAGCAAACCGAAAATCACTAAAACCTTCCTTATTTTATCCTCTACCCAAAAAAACACCTTATTTTAGCCTACAAATAACCCAAAACCCGTAGATCTGGATTATTGCCTTCGAAAGAAGTGAAGAACACAACAACTTTCAAGCTTCCACGGCCAGCTTTAAAGCTTCTCAATGGCTTTGAATCTCCACTGTAAGTCCTGTCCCTTTTGCTTGTTTTTCCTTTCTCTTTGTTCCCCTCTCCTTCGCTCCCCCTTCTTATCGTTTTTATAGTTGCTTGATTCAGCTCAGTGGGGAATTAGGTTTTAGGTTTGATTATTTTAAAGGCTTAGTGGAGTTGTTTGTAAGCTGTTGGCCGATTTGGTTAAACTACATATAAATGGTGACTTAAATTCGAAAATTGAAAAATAAAAGCCCAAAATCGAATATTAACAGGAATTATATAACATATAAAATGGGATTAAAACGTAACATAAATTAAAATAGTAACTCAAATTAAAATAAAATTAAAGTTATACTAATGACCATAATAGAAAATTACAAACTAACAGTAACACCATTTGCGAATGTTCCATGAGTGAAATTACAGATTACTTCCTTTGGTTAAACTACATCGTTTTATTAGATGTATATAAGCCTAACATTAAGGCTTTTTCTCACATCTTTCTCATTTGTTTCATTTACATAAAACAGAGGGAGCTCAATTCTCTTATAATCGGAGAGAAGATCGCCGTTCGCCGGTGGAATCCACGGCGGTACATGGCGGCGTCCGGTGGTCGGAGCAAACCGAAAATCACCAAAACCTTCCTTATTTTATCATCTACCTAAAAAACACCTTATTTTAACCTACAAATAACCCAAAACCCGTAGATCTGGATTATTACCTTCGAAAGAAGTGAAGAACATGACAACTTTCAAGCTTTCACGGCCAGCTTTAAAGCTTCCCAATGGCTTTGAATCTCCACTGTAAGTCGTCTCCCTTTTCTTCTTGTTTTTCCTTTCTCTTTGTTCCCCTCTCCTTCGCTCCCCCTTCATTTCGTTTTTATAGTTGCTTGATTCAACTCAGTGGGGAATTAGGTTTTAGGTTTGATTATTTTAAAGGCTTAGTGGAGTTGTTTGTAATCTGTTGGCCGATTTGGTACAATTTTCAGGTGCTATTTGACGTAGGCAATGACTACATTCGATGGCTCTGCTCGATGATTCAATGGCTCGGCGTTGGTGGCGACGAGAGCAGCTTGACGGCGGCTGGAGTTGAAGTGTTTGGCGGCTGCTGTCTTTAGTTTAGGGTTTAGAAAGTTTAGGGTTTAGAAACCCTAATTTTTGTAGAGTTGCTGAGTTGGGCCTCTTTCGGGTCGGATTAGCAGCTTAGGTTTGTATTGAACAGATGGGCTAGGTTTTTGCTGTATTAAACTTCATTTGTGGACCTGTAAACATTACAAAATACTAATATTAATAATAAAAATAAAAATAAATATAATTAATAATAATTATGATAATAATAATAATAATAATTATGATAATAATAATAATAATAATAATAATAATAATAATAATAATAATAATAATCCTGATAAAAAATGGGTGTCTACATTCAGCAATTGGGTAAAAAATTCTCTTAAAGATCTAGGAGCGTCAAGCTATTTTCTTGGCATTGAGGTTGCAAGATGTAAGGATGGGCTTGTTCTAAGGCATTAAAGTTCATTCGCGACTTACTTGAAAGAAAAAAAATGACAGGAGCTAAACTTATCCCCACTCCTATGGTGTTAGAACTCACAAAGGAAGCATGGAAACATCTAACTGATGGGCAATATTTTCAAAATATCACGGGCGGTCTGATGTACCTAAGTCACACTCGACCATAGTGTAGCTCAATATATGCACAAACCATGCGAAGGACATTGGGTAGCTGTTAAAAGCATTTTGCGTTACCTGGCGAGAACAATACACTATGGCTTAGTCTTCCATGCAAATAGTTCTGCTTCCAAACTTGTTGCTTTCGCTAATGCTGATTGGGGAAACAATCTTGACGATCGAAGGTCAATCTCTCGGCCGTGTGTGTTCCTTGGCAGCAATTTGATATCGTGGAGCTCAAGAAAGCAGAAAACTATGGCACGATCCACCACTGAAACCGAGTATAAGAGTATTGCAGACACTGTTTCTGAAGTTGTATGGCTTCGAACGTTGCTGCGTAACATGCATGTGAAACAAGTGGAAACTACGGTCATACGGAGTGATAATACGAGCGCAGTGGCAATAAGCTCAAATCCAGTCTTTCATGTAAAATCCAAATATGTGGAGCTGATGTGCTTTGTACGCAAGAAATTAACGAAAAAAGAACTTAGTGTGAGTTATGTTCCTGAACCTCATCACCTTGCCGATAGCTTGACAAAGCCCTTGTCCAAATCTTCCTTTGCTTCATTTCGAGAAAAGATTCGAGTTACCAATGGAGAAGCCCTTGAGGATATTAGAGAATGTTAGAGCAATGGTAATTCTACTAGTTACAGCTGTAACAAATCCTCTAAACAGTTAAAAGAATGGTGTGAGTCAGCTGCATGGATGACGTTAGCCCTTATTGGTGAGCTGTCAGGTTGTTACAGATCATTCTAAAGAAACTTTGTATGTAGTTCAGCTATAAATAAGAAGGTTTTGTACCTTTGTAAAGCAATTTAATTAGTATTTTTTCTTATAACAAATGATGGTTACTTATCAGTTTTAAATAAAAAATTATGAATATTGTGAACTTTATGATATGTATATTATGTTTATAAAAATATAGCAGAAACTTTTATTGATTGAATGGAAATCAATATAATAATTTAATCAAATCTTGAAAAAAAAACGGTTTAGAGTTCAAATCTTGCCAAACATAATATTTAAACAAATTTTCTCAAGCAAAACAATATTGATTTAATGATGTAATGGAAATAAACTTTGAATTATATAAATGAATCAACGCTCAAAATTTATCTAATTTTTAGTTTTGCGACATCTATGGATGGGGATGGGTGATTCTTTGGCCTGATGAGTTTCATTTTGTGCTTTTCAATGTATTGCTTAGTGGCTATCGTGAATACTTTCAAAGTTAACCATGGTGATTTTTGTGGTTTGGAGGAGCGATCTAAGCAACTGCTATTAGGGGTCTGTTAGGCAATGACAAATCTGATATGTTTTGGGTGTTAGTTGGATGCTATCACTATTATTTTTAGTCGTTTTACGTTGTGATCATGAGAATTGGGTGTAGGTGAGGCCTTATTTTTGTGTTTTTGCTTCTTTGAAGCACTAAGTGGCAACTTTTTGGCCTCAGGTCAATTTTACTCATATTAATAAAATTATATCGGTTGTGCAAAAAGAAAAAAAAAAAAGAGAAGTAAAACTAATCTTTCTACTTCGAAATCTATTTTATTTTAATTAATCTGGTATAACTACAAGGTAATATATATTTAAAGACAACTCTCAACCACTTGACATTGAAGTCTCATGTCTAACTTAAGACCTTAAGGAAGAATGGTTCCTTTACCATCAGGATAACTTAATTTGTGTTTGAAATTTAAACTTAAACTATTAATTCAAGTATAAGATAAAACAATAATTCATAAATAAATTTTAAAATAAGATAAAAGGAACAATACTTTATTTAAATTTATCAAATCTGAAAGTTATCCTATTACTTTTATTACACAATTTATTCTAGTTTTGGAATCTGAATTCTCAAACACAACCGAAAGGGAAACCGAAATGAATAGACATGGGAGGAGGATAGCAAGCCAAGCATTCCCCCACCTCCATTGCTTAGGGGTATTCAATATCATTTTTTTTGAATTAATTACCAGTATATGATCTATTAACCGACTAATTCAGATCGGAGTTCGAATCTAATTTAATTCACTGGCAAACGTCAGGGTTCGAGCCCTTGACCTTGCTTAAAGAATTTAGTACCTTATCCCACTAGACCAACTGATTGTTAGTATTCAACGTCACTTTTCAGTCGAAGGTATTTGTTTATGTCGTTTTAATTATTTGATTAGCTTGAACTTATTATGATAAAAATATTGTGTTTAAATAATATATATCTTTTAAAATTACTTTTACTAATTGATATATCGTATTCAATAATACTATCCAATTTAAATATATGCTTACAACTTACTTCTGAGTAAATCAGAAATTTATGGTAAAAAGCTTTAATTTAGTTAATGACATTGTTTTATTAATATTTAACCAAATCCTCTAATATCCAAATTTAGTAAGATAGGGTAAATATATGCGAGAGAATATGAGATTTCTTTCAAGGATATTACAAGTCTTATTAGATAATAAAAAATAATGATCTTTTTATTATAGTATTTAAACCTGATTTTAAGCTATAATTCAACAATTAAACCTTATTATTCAATCATATATTTAAATTTGGACTTATTTTTTTGTTTAAGCTAAGGTGATTACAAAGTAGTATTTGTTCTAAATACTATCAACCATTTGACAATGAACGTTCAATCACTCTGCTGTAGTCGCTGGTGCTCAAACTCATTATCTCTAGAAACAACGACCTCTAGAAACAATGACAATTTCTTTAACCACTTAGGTAAATTGGTTCGTGCATTAATTTAGTAAATGAATTTATTGTTAAGGATCAAGTACCAATTTAAATTAATAAATTAAGTACAAATATTTAATTAGACCAAAAAAAAGTCTAACCCATTTACATATTCTAACACAATTTATATTAGTTTTTCTAAATTTAAATTCTCAAACACAATCCAAAGGAGAAAGTCCAAATGATATTGACATGAGTGGAGGATATCTAGCCAAGCCCATTCCTTAGGGATGAATATTAGATAAGTCGAGTGAAATAAATTTGAATTAATCGAATTTTTTATTATCAATTTATTATTCACACTTTACTTGAAATTATTTTAGTCTAATTTATAAAATTTGAGTCGAGTTAGATTGAAAATATTTGTTCAAATTTCTATTTCAATTTTAAAAGTAACTATTTGTAATGTTATGGTATTGTTTTTGTTTCAGTTTAAACGATATTCACTAATCATATATGATATATATATATATTATATTTTTTCGTATGTATAAGTAAGATTTATAATATTATTTAATAAATCAAATACCATAAAAAATATATAATATATTGGCACTACTTTTCTTAAAGAATGTATTTTGAGTAAACAAAGGTATTGATGAGAATATATAGGAGTCAAAGAATTGAAGGGTAAAAAGAATTCGTTAGGAATTGTAGTTGGAGGACCAAATTAAATAAAATATAAAGTTGAAAGACTAATTAAAATAAGGTTAAACTATAGCATTGATCACTTTCGTTTAAGTTTTGTAAATTTTTCCTTACTAAATTCAAAAAACATAATATTTTGTAACTTTTGTTTTTATTTAATTAAGATTTGATTACTTTCATCTTTATTTAATTAAGATGTGGTCACTCAAAACTAACTGTTGTTAGATCTTTAACGGATAACTGACGTGTCACAAGGTATTTATAAAATGAAAAGGGGTAAATTACACAAATGATAACTAATATTTGAGTAAGTTTTCATTTTCCCACTAAAGTTTCAAAAGTAACAAAGTGGTTACTAAAACATCAAATAGGTCTTTGAACAATGATTTTATATCTAATTTACCTTAAAAGTTTTCTAATTGTTTTTCAATATATATATACTTTTTAAATTTTAAAGGTTTAATGCAAAAAAAAAAATGTCTAAACTATACTCTTTTTGAAATTTAGGTGCCTAAAGAATTATTCGTTCAAATTAGGTGCTTAACATTTTTAATATTACTATTTTAAGTTTATACGTCGTAATGACCATTAAAAAGGTTGTCATATAACATATATCACTTTTATATTTTTCCCAAAATTTTTAATTTTAAAAACTTAAAAATATTATTATTTTTAAGAAAGACAATTTTTAAAAATTACAGAGAAACCCTAAACTTCCTCCCACTATCACCGTTGATGCTTTCATCAGCAGTCTACAAACACCCAACTTGCTTCCATTTTTCTCTACAACTATAACCTCCATTGAAACACCATAGATAAAGAGTAAGAAGGGATGCTAAGATACAAACCCCAACCCCGAGAGTTGAGAGTGATAGAGAGCGTAAAAACAAAGTAAATCCTAAACTCTAAGCTCTTTCTCAGGTTGCATTTTTTTTGTTTGGAAGTTCCAATTTGTTGTCCGTGGATTTATAACAAAGGAAAACTCTCTTAAGCAATTTGATTAATCCAAATTCCATGTAGCCCGCCACTCCTTGAGGCCAACAACAAATCGAACCTTCATTTCAGGATTTACAGTTTCAATACATTTATATAATGTTACATAACCACTCCGTTTAAACATAAGAAGAGGCTCCAACTACAACACAGAGTACGATGGTCATCGGCCCTAATCTCGTTTGGCTTAAAAATCCTTTAACCTTTAGTCGTTTGGAGTAGTGGCCGTTTAGCCTTTGATCGATGGGTAGAGACTTAAAGGTGATGATAATTGTTATTGAATCATGTCAAGGCATGCAATACATGAGCACTGGTGAGCTGGCATAGAGGTTGTTAGGCTGGTAAATATTATGGTTATACTGAGGTCATAGCTTGTTGAGCTGGAAAACTATGCACAAAATGCTATATATATTTATATTCCACTCTCTTATAAAATTAAGCTTAAAGAAATAAAAATGTATTCTCTTATAAACCCTACATGCATCAAACAGTGATTTTAATATGGTATCAGAGCTTAGTTTCCTGGTGTGCTTTAATTGCTGTTTTTTCTTTTTCTTCTTCTTCTTCCATTGTATCGGTTTTTTCTGATCAATTATGGGGGATTCGAAAGGTTCATTGATAGGCACCCAGAAAACGTTCTCCAACAAACGAGTTAGTGAATATTGGACGAACAAAACTTTCTTATGTGGAAATAACACGTCCTACTCATTGTTTGCAATCATCGATTGGAAAAACTTCTTCTTGGGTCGGTCTTTCTGTCACCAGCAACAGTTGCTCTCGATGATGACACCATTGTTGATAATAAAGCCTATGTGATGTAGGCTTATCTACGCCCTCAATGAAGAAGATGATAGATAACCTTATTGTTGTCCCGATCTAGGAATGACAATTAGTAATGCCCTTGAATTATAAGTATGGCTCAACAAAGATAATAAAGAGATGAAATTAGTAATGAAATAAGAAAGGATAAGTAATATAAGTAATGGAATAAAAGAGATGAAAAGAGCTGCAGAATTATAAATGAAGATGTTGGTGGTCTTGATGGAAGATGGTTGATGGTGTTGATGTTGTATGGAAGATGGTGATGATGGTGTATCTCAAACACGCCAAAGAAGAAGCTATGCTAGAGAGCACAACCCCGATCTTTACAAACTTGCTTGAGGGGTGGTAATGGTGTCTTCAACCCACTAGATATAAAATCTAGGAATTTAGGAATCAAGGTGAAGGAATGACGCCACAAGTA